TCTAGAGGAGACAGTTACCCTACAGGGCTTGCCTTTCTCTGAACTGGCTGGAGCAATGGGACTTGGCAATCCAATTTTGACCCTTTCTACCTCTTTAGCCAAGTTAAAAATCAATTAGAAAGGCTCCCATTTTCTGCACAGGTGAAGTTCATGCTAGGCTATTATCACATTATACATTATTAAATACAACTCCATTAGTTGACAAGGAGCTCTGGCCTACCTGCAAGATTCAAAATAACTTTTCCTGAGATATTTCAGTTTGGCTACCAACACATCCAGCACAGTTATCCTTTGAGACAAAAATTATCGTGAGGCTGACATCCTGCTTTCAACTTGAATTGGTAGATAAATATTCTAAATTTAAATGAGCATCCAGGAAAATGTGTTTGACTACTCCAGGAACCTAGCTTTTTAAGAAATAAAATGTCCTTGAATTAATCAGCAGAAAAGGCATAGCACTAAATTATAAATTCCAACCATTAATATTCATAGCCTTATTCTAGCATAATCAAGTACAGATAAGAACTTATGCATAAAAACATAACAAGTGGAGGAAAATCCTAGGTAAAGATCTTTTCAGTTAGAGTCATTTGCTTTGAAATAGTGCAAGCTACTGATTTGCATGTCTTCTCTGCTGGCAGGAGTGTGAAGGGCAGTGTGAAGCCCCATGCTGCTCCGGGGAGAGCATGTAGCTTTCCAGGCTTGTGAATATGGGACATTTAATTCCAGTTCTGCGAAGGGGGCAGGTGGCATCTGCCTTGCTAATAACTGGCAGGGAGGAAGTACGGAGTAGGTGGGAAAACTTTTAGTTCTGAAAATGTCAGTAGCTGGCCCTAAAAAAATTTGTGATTAGGCCTAAGAAAGGAATAGTCCTGCCTATTGAGATTTGCATATTAGATCCATGTGACAGGTGATAATAACAATAATAGTAACATGTTTTGTTTGTGCTTTCCTAAATGCTTCCATTTCTATTCTACTCTCAAGGCAGATAGGCCTGTGTTATCCTTCCCATTTTAGGGAGGGAAAAAGTGAGGTACATAAAGTTAAAGAGACATAAATGTAAAGGCTATTGCTCTCTGGGCTGGTTAATCCAGGTTAAGAACTTGGGTCTTCTGAATTAATTCCAGTTTTCTTTTCTCTCAGCCATCCTGCTACTATCCTCCAGTGTAGACCCAAGAAGAGAGGCAGTAGGACACTAATACCTTCAAATCCAAAGTTATCTCTTCAGCTGAGGGCTTTTGAATTTCCAGGTGAATTATTATAGCTGTCCCTAGGTTGCCTTGGAAATCGCCGTTTATCTAGAGGCCTGGGGGAATGCCCGTTTGGGCAGGCCAGTAGAAAGGGATTTTGACTGCCTTACCCTGATTCATTATCTGCCAGTACACAGAGAAGACTTATATCTCTGTCTAAGATTCTGATAGCGTTTTATACTTTCCTGTTGTTTATGATATGTCTTCTTGTGACTATACATAGGAAGGGGATGACACAAAAAGCAGCTCAGGATTTTATTTCTCTGGAAGGTTATGGTCTTTGGGGCAAGTTATTTGTATCAAGCATTTGCTAATAGATCTCCATGCATGAGAAGGTTGAGGCAGCCTGTGAGACATTTAGGCAACCCATAAACAAACAACATTGATTTAGCAACGTTTTGTGCAGTGAAATATAATAAATTAAAAGGTCAGATTGAAAAAAAGCTGAAATCACTGTTTCTCTAATAATTGCTATGATTTATAAGGTATCCATCAGGCTAGGCACTTAATATATATTATCTCTAGTCTCCACAATAATCTTGTAAACTTGACAACATTATCCCCAATTTATAGGAGGAAACTAAGACTTAGAGAAATTAAGTGATTTGCCCACTAAGTACTGGTCAGATTAGAGTTCGGGTGGGTATAGCTCTGAAGTGCTTCATATGTCATGATGGTCAATTCAAGCTTATTTAATCTTGTTGCATTTATTTTAAAAGACGTATTAAAATAATAGTTTGCTGCAAAGTACACTTACTTATTTCAGATAACCTGGCCATAGTTATGATCACAGATTTTGGGGAACTGGTAGAAACATGAGCCAGACTAATTCTTTAGCTTAATAGCCTGCTGTATTGCATACTTATTTATTGCAGGACAATGTTTATTGTACAGAAAAACAAACATTCCAGAGCAAATCCCAAAACAAATTTTGATTCTTAGAACCCATCAACGACATAATATGTGCACAACAAATATAAGCATGGAAGCTCTGAATGTTAGGCTGTGAATTGAAGGCAAGCATAGATGAATCTTCTAAAGGTCAAACTTTTAGTGATGAGGAGTCTTGGGTAAAGAATTGACACAAGGATGTGTCTCCATAGGGCTAGCCCCATATACTTGGTACACGCCCTAGGACAAGCTGGGCCTCTGCTCAGACTGCAGCTTCCAGAGAGAGCTAGGATGTTCTCAGAGTTTTCCATGCCATCTCAGCATTAGAGATTTATACATGTGAAAGGTTTATACTAACGATCCACTTAGATTAGTAAAGTTTACACTGTGCAGTTTTTCTGGTTCATCCTCAAATTCTCCCCTGCCTTCCAGAACTCCATGGATGATTCCAGTTTTCCCAAACATCACTGAGCTTTCCTTTCAATATCAGCTGAAAAAACATAAACTTTTCACCAAACATCTTCAGAGACATTCCATTTCGTGGCCGAATGAGTGCAGGCACACCACACATTCTAATAGGAAACAAACTCCAAGTTATGCTTTGGTTTTCAGTGAGAGCTACATTTTATTTAGCACAGATGACAGTTGAACCACTCGTTTTTGTAGAACAACAGCTGTGATGTGCCACCAAAATGTTCCAGGAAAGAGGAGGGTGTTTCATTTGTTCCAAGAGCTGACAAGGCCAAATGCCAACAAGAATATTCATTTCACAGACTCCATTTCTGCATTGGATTGGCACTGTTTATTATTATTATTATTATTATTATTGGCAAGGTTTTATGTGTGATTTTTAAGTTTTATTTTAGAAATTGAAATCTGTGTTGGTACTTTTTTTTTTAATACGTCTTTATTGATTTCAGAGAGAGGAAAGGAGAAGGAGAGAGAGAGAGAGAGAGAGAAACATCAATGATGAGAGAGTCATTGAGTGAACCCACAACCTGGGCATGTGCCCTGACAGGAATCGAACCCTGATCGCCTGGATCCTAGGTCGATGCTCAACCGCTGAGCCACGCTTGGCCGGGCTGTTTGTACTTTTGAGGGAAACTTGTTAGGTCTCAGGCATATATGTATGTGTATATATTTTAACCTCTTTTTCTGCCAAAATATCACCAGCCTTATCATCCTCTGAGTGATGGCACATCTGATGGCAGTGAGCATCGGTTGCCCGAGGAGATACACGAGCAGTGCCAAGGGCTGCATTCTCAACTTTCATTAAAATCCTCTTCGCCTGAAGCCCTAGCTCTTTAGGTCTGTGGCCTATGAGTCTATACTAATTTGCACAGTGAGGTTAAGTGGAAGGGCTAAAATGACAGAAGTTAGGGCTGCCTTTAGTAACAGAAGGATTAGAGGCCAACATCTGGCCCTGAATTCATCCAGGCAGTGTGGATCAGCTACTTGACATTAGCATGGTTTGAGGGAAAGTATCACTTGTGTTCAAATTTTTAAAAAGAATGTAAAACCAGCAACTTTTAATGAGCAGATCCTTAAAAAAAGGCCGTGGCATTTCTTTTAGAGATCAGACACAGAAAGAACCATCAACTGTGTTTATTGAAATATCCATTTGGTAATTCCAATTACACATTAAAACACCAAGGAAATTTTTGGAAGAATTTCAGCTTAATAATCAGACATTTAAATATATGCAACAAATGTGTAATTTTAAGGTCTGATTGCAATGATCAGTTCTTGGAATAAATGTGGGTGCACTTAATGAAATGTGTGCTTTACAGTTGCACATACACTCACATACTATGTAGTAAGTTGGGTCTTTATGACATTTTGTAAAAAGCAGAGTGCTCAACACCCATTTCATATGGTGAGCAAAGAAAGAATTCTACTTAGTGTATTTCTCCTTCTAGGAAATATGTACAACAGTGGTTCTAAATGAAGAGAGGGTGATAGTACTAATGGTGGTGGTGATGGTAACTTTGCCCCCAGGGAACACTAAGCAATATCTGAGACATCTTTGGTTGTCGCACCTGGGGGATGGGTGGGTGCCTTTGATATCTAGAGGCCAGAGATTCTACTAAACATCCTGCTACACACAAGAAAACCTCTCACAAGAAAGAATGATCTAGCCCCAAATGTCAACAGTGCTGAGGTTGGGAAACCCTGATTTAGAGCAATGTGCTTTGAAGGGAGAAGGAAAGGTGAGAGACTCTGATTCAACAGTTTAGTTTGGAGAGCTAATATCTTCAAATATTAAATTAAAGATGCAAATGTACTTGCAAATGATAATTCTGAAGCAAAATTGTTTTCAGCCTATAGGAGTGCAAAATCCACCTCCCCAATTGCAGTAATATGTTTTTGGTTTTTTTTTAGTTTGTATTAGGTTAGATTAAAAAATGTATTGTGGACTATATTTTTGATCCATTTCTTTAAAAAAAAATGATTGACAGCAATCAAATTGCCCCCAAGGACGTGGTAGTGGAGGAAGACTTGTATGATCCTACTCTGAGAACTGACTTGAGCTTTTGATCCCCTTTCAGGTGAAGGAGTATGTCCAATTAATCCATTTCTATGAAAAGAAACTCTCAAACCTAACTGTCCGAGTAGAGATCATGGAAAAGGATACCATTTCTTACACTGAATTGGACTTTGAGCTGATCAAGATAGAAGTGAAGGAGATGGAGAAACTGATCATCCAGCTGAAGGACAGTTTTGCTGGAAGCTCAGAAATTGTTGACCAGCTGGAAGTAGAGGTAAGGGGTGAACTCACTTCTCAGTGTATTAGTAATAAATGCCTTCAGCTGTGGTAGGACTCGGGTATACGGATGTCTTTCTTCTGACTTCTAATTCTGTACTCTCTCATGTACACATCATATATCCCCGTGTTCTGCTGTACATGGACACCTGCCTTTGAATGGTAAGTTAAACACAATGGAAACATACTGACCGAGGAGCAGTTGTCAACTAATGATCAGGGTGCTGCCCCAGAACCAAACAACCTTTTAATGTCTCTGGAAAGGAGATGACATAAATAACTTTATGGCCAAGGTAGATCAAGTGTCTTCTCTGTTCTGGATTCATCCTCATGGGACTAAAGCTACAATTTACCTTATTTTGGACTCACTAGGTCTGTTTCTCCTTTTGAATGTTCATATAATTCTTGATTCTTCTTGGAACTTCTTTCTACATACTGACAACCCTTTTTAAAGGAGTTTCTTTTGGGTATGTTTTAGTGAAGCCTTTAAACTCCGTGGATAAAGACCATGGCTGGGTAATTTATATCAATGAGAATTTGCTAGCACAGTCATGACATGGGCTATAATTGAGGATTCTAGTTGCATATTTTAGAATTTAAGTTTTCTCCGGCTCTCACCACTCATTAGAAACTTAATTATGATACAACAGGAGTAAACATGAGTTTATAGGAGAAGGTTGCTAGAAATGAACATTAATGGACATTTGTGGATGCTTAGACTGAGCCTGTGCTCTATTATTGAAGCTATTAAAACCTTTGCCATTTTCTTTTCGTCACACACATCTGCCTGAGATCTGACAGGCATTCACGCTAAACCATAAAATGTATTCCTCCAAATGAAACCATTCAGAAGAATCTCAGGTGTATTCTCTAGCCCTGTTTCACTAAGTGACAAACTCAGCCCTGGAATGTTTATGAAAGAAATTGCACAATAATATAAAGTCACTCTGAATTTTTATTTCCTTAGATAAGGAATATGACTCTCCTGGTAGAGAAGCTCGAGACACTAGACAAAAACAATGTCCTTGCCATTCGCCGAGAAATTACGCTACTGAAGTACAAGCTAAAGGAATGTGAAACCTCTAAAGTTGAAAACGTCCCTGCCAAGCCCCCTTCTCCCGCTCCAGGTAAGCAGGCCTTATTTCTACCACTTGAGCCAAGCCTCCAGGAGCGTAGAGCGGGGTGGGGAAGGGCCTCGGGTTGTAACCCTGAAGCAAGGATGGGAATTTGCAATTCTGAGTTTACTCTTCCAACTCTTAGATCTCCTTCCCTAATAGCTTTACCAACTATCACATTCTGGAGCTCACAGAGGAAAAGCATGAACAATGAGTTGATTTAAAACTAAATCCACATGTTATACATATCCCCTCTGCATTTCTTAACAGGACAAACATCCCTTCAGGGACAGCGTTTCTGTCAGGGGGCCTGGTGAAAGCCCCTGGAATCTGTGTGGCCCCCCGCACTATCTGTGGATTGTAAGGGCTGATTGGCTCATTTACCTGATGAGCTGGGGTTATGACCAGCCCTTCAGATATGGGGTTGAATTTAGAGTGAGAGGAAGGGAGAGCGGGAGAGAGAGAGAAAAACATTCATCAGTTGCCTCCCTCATGCACTCCAACTGGGGATCGAACCTGAAACCTAGGTATTTGCCTTAACCCGCAATCAAACCCATGACCTTTTGGTGTACGGGGCAGCACTCCAACCAACTGAGCCACCTGGCCAGGGCCCTCTGTGCTCTTCTCAAGTGCATGTTGAGCTCCTGCTGTATAGTGTGTCCTGGGATTCAGTGAAGATTTAATGGATGGCCCCACACGTCCTGTACTTGTGGGTGTCTCCTGCCGTCCCTCCTGGACTGAGTTCCTGGAGGGCAGAGATGGCATCTCACTCTTTAATGAGTCACCCTTGGGGTCAAGCATAGCGTAGAGGTGAGTGCTCTGTAAGGACCTCATGAATGTGAATGGAGGCAGTGGAGTGTAGGGGTCAGGAACATGGCCTTGGGGCCCCAAAGGCCTGAGCTTCCCAGCTATGAGGCCACAATAAGAAGATCCTTAATCTCCTCAGTTATAAAATGGGAGCCGAGCAGTGCCTGCCTTGCAGGGTTGCTCTGAGGGTTAATGAAACAGTGTCTGAGGAGCTCAGAGCTCTGTGATCAGCGCTTATACACTGGCAGTTGTTATCATTACTAACGAGGATAACTGACGTGAAAACCTTGCTGCGAACAAAGGCAGTGCCAGGTCCTGTGCACTTCAGCACATCCCTCTGGTGAAATGAAGCCTGCCTCTGCCACAGCAGCCAGCCCTGTCCTTTAGAGACACCTCGTCACAGGGAAACAGTCGCTGCAGGCCCGGAGCGTCTCAGCCTGAATGAGGGCTGTCTCTCTTCATCAAATGGTCAGCTCTTGCTATTTTCATTAATTCCTATTGTCACATCCTGTTTCATTTTAGACCCTGCATTTCTGGATCCTTGTCAGTGTGGCTGGCTTCTTTAAGGGTTTAATTAGACACTGTCGTAATTATAAGCCTCTCCGTCCTGTTCAGGGGACTCTTTCCTTCCTTCTGCTGTTGGAAATTTGTCATAGTATGACATAGAGAGGAAGTTTAGGACAAAGGCCTGTTCTGTCCTCTGTAACAAAGTGGGGCTAAATTGGGTCTGGAATCAGTGGTGTCAACACACATTGTAAATGAGACCTCATTGTTCTGGGCCACCAAGGGCTCCTTGAAGGCAGAAGTCGGAGCAATGACACCCTCTGATAAAACCTGAGCAAGACTTTCTTTCTTTCTTCCCTCTCTCCCTTCCTCCCTCCCTCCCTTCCTTCCTTCTTTCTTTTTCACCTCAGCAAATCTTCCATATGGAACAGATTTTTCTGGCATAGTTTCCTATGCATCCCTTAGAGTGAGGACATTTTGGGGCAGGAATGAACATTCAAGGCCATCTAGGGCAGGCCCATCATTTTTCAGAGGAAGGGACGTAGATGGTGAGGTTGCTGCTTTTCCTGAGGCCACACAACCTTCCTGGTCATCTCAGGACCTAGAGTGTCAGGCACCAATAGCTCAAGGACAGTGGTAGGGGAGAAAGTATACTGCTTAGTACCTAAGGAGGAAAACAAGTGAGTCTGTTGGGTTATTTTCGTTAGAATATTTTTCCCCAGAACTTTCCCCTAGGTCCTCACACTTAGCCTTTTGTCAGCCATTCCAGCCCAGCTGTGTTGTTTAAGCAAATTGGACCCAGATTTCCTCTCAATTTCTTACAACCTTGGCTGTACCTGGATCCCAGCCAAGCCACTTGGCCCTCCTCCAGCTTTGTTCATATTATATTTATGATGTTTATATTAAACTGACTTTTTGTCATGTTTTTTAAATCAATTTCTTTCACTTGCTCTCTTTCTGTTTGGATTGGTTGGTAATGCAGAATTGAAAAATCCCCAGGCACCACCAAGTTGTGAGCCTGTGGAGACTTTAATTAAAGTTCCTCACTATTATGGGACTTAAAATCTGGCCTCTCTGCTTTTTGGACTGCAGAGTTGCACAGAACAAAAAAGACTGCATGCAAGTCTCGGCAATGAAGTAATTCTGTGCCCTCTTGACCCCTCCCTTGCAGCTGTGGTTTGCTATCCCTGTGGTCAGCTTGATCTTAGAACCAGGACATGTAGCGAGGGCTCAATAAAGTGCATTTTACAGTTGCTTTATGCTGCAAATGACATCTTTTTCTGCTTCATTTCATAGAACTTCCTAATCTAAAATAATCAGCCTTCTGCTCATTAACTTTTTTTCCTGAAAACAACTGACTGTGTCTCTCTGCTTTCCCCCTGAATCTAAATGACTGCATAGGCAAAATGTGATGGAAACGTTGAGGGGTTGATCACCACTGTGCTGGAAAATGCTAGGCTCTGTGCTGACACAGAAAGGTGCTCAGTAAATGGCTGGTGATTGACTAGGGTATGAAAGATTTGGAATGATCTACCAAAATCCTAAGCCTAAGGAAGAGCAGAGTGTTGGGTAGCACATATGCAATAATTCAGAATCAATTTAGTCTTAATTATTTTCTAATTATTACCATTTTAATTGCCTAATTCTCACAAGGCAATTGTATTCTCCTCTTGGCTCAAAGTTCACTTGTCCAGGTGAGAGAGCATATTGATAGATCTAAGATTACGTTTTCTCTGCAGGCATATAATCTTTGGCTTTAAAGAAAAATGCTAACCATGATACTTAAAAAAAAAAAAAAAAGCTAAGTTACAGTATTTTGAAGTTTCATCATGTGGCTTCGCAGGATAATTTCAGAATACTGTGGCAATATCTAATGAATCACATGGCGAAGAGATTGCCAACCAAGGCTACCATTATGTACAGGTTCCTTGTATTATGTTCTGCGAAGTGAACACCAGGATCTTTAAAAAATTCAGATAAATAGCAGGGTAGAGGGTTGGTGTTTTATAAATAAGGGTAGATAGGCTGGGTTTGAGAGGTTCAATTAGTCTTTCATTCCTATTCCACAAACACTGTATGGCTGGCCCTGTTCTGAGTACTGGGGTTACCAGGATGGGTACAAAGCCACTATCCAGGAAGGGAGACAATCACATAAACCTTCGATGGTGGCATGATGTATGCTGCTGATAGTTACCATTCATTGAGTTACATGTACCTGCCTTCTCTCTATTTCTCCTAGCAGTCCTGCAGAGTAGGTATTATTATTTTCTTTTAACATGAGGAAATAGGCTTAAAGGTTAAATAATTTGCTCAAGGATGCACAGCTAGTAAGTATTGGAGTCCGGACTGAATTAGAATCTGTCTGGGAATATTTTCATTGTACCAGGCTGCCTTCCATAGATCCTCTAATAGAGAGAGGTACACTTATGACTCCTAGAGTGACAAGAAAGTTCCAGCAACTCACCAACCGGATGAATACTAAATTATCTTTTCTTCCTTTCTTGTGGGGGAGCTAAAGGGGCACTTTTGCTCTCAGTTCTATGCTGTATTCGCTTCCACCAAAAAATGCAAAATGATTCATTGGTTTTTCACCGTTCTTGGATCATGGCTGGCTGGGCCATGGGTTGTTATGCCAGTGGCAGGGTAAAGTTGGGATGGGATGGGTAAGGAAGGGAATGGGGGTATTTCTAACATACTCTTGAAATGAAGGAAGAGGCTGGAAAGGGGTGTGAGATAAGGGAGGGTGGGGAGAAGCTTGGGGTAGATGGCTAGGTGGGGGCAGGGTTGAGGACTAGATGAGCAGTGGGCCCTGGCTGTGAGTTTCAGCATTGTTTCCAAGCCTGTTTGTTGGCAGGAAACAGGGAAGTCCACCATAATTTTCACTGCCACAGCCACATCTGTAGAATTGGCAACCATGCTTAGCTTTCCCCCCCTGTACCCACTTCCTTTTCTCTGGAGCCAGCATCCTAAAGGTGGCCCAAAGGAGCCAGAGGATAAAGTAAAGATAAACAAAATAAAGCAAAACACAAACACATACAAACAGGAGAGTATTTAGGAATGGTTGGGAGGTGAGGAAAAGAGATTTAAGCTCATATACAGTTTTAATATTTATGCCAGGTATAATTTTAATTTCCTGGCCAACATGTGAAGTGGTGAGCCATTGCTATTATTAGTGCTAGTAGCAATCCTAGTGATTTTAAAGAGAAGATTATTTTGGTTCCTTCATATCTAAGGATCTCTATATCTAGAACAGAGTAGTTTATTATCGTTAACTCCATGATAATGATGGAATTAGTTATATGCCTCATAAGTTTTCTTTAAATATTTTGTGGCTATTGGCTTGGGATATTTCCTTTCCAGGAAAGCAAGATTCAATTAAACAAATAATTCCCAAGTCTTCCAACCTACATGAAAAAAGTGATTTTCTTTCATTTCCTCAGAGTGAAATGTAGTTGAATAAATAAGTTCTCAGGAAGATATTTTAACTAGAAAACCCAGTTTGTAGCATATGGAAACTCGAATACTTTTTGTTATCATTAAACTGAGCACACTGCTAACTTTATTTTAATAATTCATGCCTTGTTTCATAAACAAAAGCAAACAAGCATTCATTTGAGAGATCACTTTTAGGAGAAGAAATAATAATTTATAATTTTATTTATTATTTCTTTAGTGGGAGCAGTCTCTTGGCTGAACACATGTTGCTTTTTTATTTATGAAATGGTGCATGCATTATTAAAATAAACCCATGACTGTGTTCTGCTTAATGATATGCAAAATTATTTGAGGTCGGGTACAGAGTGGTTTCATTTCTCTACCTGTTGTATGGTTGGCTGGGTTTCCCACCAACTGCAGATTTATGAGAGCATTTAAGGAGCACGTATTTAATTCTGGGACCAAAAGCACCAGCAGATTGGAAAAACAAAAGCAGGATTTCTAGTAATGGTTTCACCTCTGAGCAATCCTTGAGTGAGGTGGGGAGAGGGGGAGATGTTTAGCAAGGAAGGAAATTGTCAGAAGCAGAGACTCAGAGGCAAAAGTTTTGCACCCCCTTGCCTCCCACAATGCTAACCTCAGGCAATTCTTTAGAGTTCTGCTTTTGGCTCCAGCTCATCTCATATTCTCTCCAAAGCTCCCTAATTCCCTCCAAACATTTAAAGCCAGAACCAGCAATTCAGGTTCTGTTCCCTCCTTCCCTCACCTGCTCTGCTCCAAGCAGCAGAATGAGGCAAAATGACCTCAAATGTACTTGAAGTTGTATTTTTTGTTTTGTTTTTGTTATCCAATAAACTATCTCACCTATTCTTTAAGGGTATTTATTAAGATCCCAGAAAATGTGTGATCAACTCTTTGAATAGTTATTATAAAGATATAGAGGAACTTTTTTTTTTATAGCTCATAAACTGCTTGGATTTACAGGCATTTTAGAGGAAATGCAAATTGAAGGGCCAGTTACCTGGCCTGAGCCATTCACCCAAGTGTTACAGGGGATGTTGATTCACTGGACCAGTGAGTCTGGTCCCACTTGACTGTACACATTGTGACAACGACAGTGTCAGAATGGGAATGATGAGGCACTTGCCTGTCATTCTGTGGTGCAGTAGAACACAGGTGATAAACACAAGGCCCTCATAACTCTGCAGCAAGACAGTCACCAAGTGCTCTGTGATGGGCTGTGCTTTGGGCACAGAGAAGGCAATGTTGCCTGAAAAGAACTCCCATGGCTTCTCAAGGCTGAATCCCACCATCATAGGACGAGCCTTCTGTATCTTTAAAATACCACATTTAAAACTTCCTCTATTAAGATGAGCTTGGGACGGCATTGGTACTGGGTGTGGATATGTATTTGGGGGGTCCCAGGGAAGGGCAGAAAGGTGAAGGGAAAGGAGAGTTGCCCAGGACAATCTGCTTCATCACAATTCTCCCTGACCCTGGTGAGTGGCACCTTCTGGCTTTATGGAAAGAGGGCGAGATTCTGAGATGATCCTGCTTTCTTGATTTCTCTATAAGAAAAATGAAAATACTGTTTGCAAAATGCTCCCTGATAGAAGAAAATATATTAAATTCACCAAATCCTCCATTTCTGTCTTTGGGCCGCCCCTCTAACCTCGGCAGTTTCATTACCCTCATTTTTCAGATTGAGAGCCAATCCATGGAAATAAAAGGTAGTTCTCTGAGGAGCTGACAGCAGGTTTGCACTGAGACTGAAACAAAGGGAAGGTTTTGGCTCTTCTCCATCAGCAACACTGTTGTCATCGAACCTTGACAAGACAAATATTTATGGCTTCCTTTAGTGCTTAAGATATTGAACTGTTTGCAGCTGTCATTCATTTTCTCTAAGAATGCCCTTTTCTTTTCTTGTTTGTATAGGGACCTGTGCTCACGGTGGTGTGGTGAACGTCAGCAAACCTATTATAGTTCAGCTCAACTGGAAAGGCTTTGCCTACAAGTACGGTGCCTGGGGCCGGGATTATTCTCCCCAGAATCCAGACAATGGGCTGTACTGGGTGGCACCTTTGAATACAGATGGGAGAGTGTTCGAATATTACAGGCTCTATAACACAATGGATGACCTGCTACTGTATTTAAATTCCCGAGAGTCCCGGATTTCCTACGGTCAAGGCAGTGGGACAGCGGTTTACAATAACAACATGTACGTCAACTGGTACAACACCCGCAACATTGCCAAAGTTAACCTGACGACCAACACGGTTGCTGTGACTCGGGCTCTCCCTGATGCCGCCTATAATAACCGCTTTTCCTATGCTAATGTTGCTTGGCAAGATATCGACTTGGCTGTAGATGAGAATGGCTTGTGGGTGATTTATTCAACTGAAGCCAGCACTGGTAACATAGTGATTAGTAAACTCAATGACACCACACTTGAGGTGCTAAACACTTGGCATACCAAGCAGTACAAACCATCTGTTTCTAATGCCTTCATGGTATGTGGGGTTCTGTATGCCACTCGCACTTTGAACACCAGGACAGAGGAGATTTTCTACTACTATGACACAAACACAGGGAGAGAGGGCAACCTAAACATTGTCATGCATAAGATGCAGGAAAAAGTGCAGAGCATTACTTATCACCCAGTCGACCAGAAACTTTTTGTCTATAACGATGGTTACCTTGTGAATTATGATCTCATCTTTGACCAGGAGCCCCGCTAAACTGTTTAAGTGTTAGGGCAAGAGAGAAAGAAAATATTAGTTGGAAAAAATGGTATTCTCCACTTATTTAGATACCTGCAAGGGGATCAGAAGTATATTTGCTTAGTTCTAATATTTAGGAGCACAGTTCTACTACACTAGATACTTTAGATATTTGTCTTGGTTTGATGAGTCCTCTTGGAAGCCATCTGCCTCCTGGGATGCATTTCCCTTCTGAAATAAGGTCCTTCCAGATAAGCAAATTTAGCATGCTTATATTTTATCTGTAAAATCCTCCGAGTTTTCTGGAGAAAAGCCCTTTTATACATCAAATTGTATGCTGCAAATCAACCCCATATGGATCTGCAGAAGAGGCACTGGATTATTTTCCCCACACTGTCTACCTATATAAGAGTCAGTAGAATCCAAAGGTACCTTGGAAGACTGGAAACAGACTTACTGACCAATTCCCCCCTAGCCCACCCCCCATCTTCCTACATCCTGCTTTTTTATAAAAATTAGCCAGTTTTTTTATGGAACAGATATAATATAAATTTACTTTTTTTTCTCATCCTGAACTTTTACTTACATGACTGTAAGACTGTAAGAGAATCAGATGGTGGAGATAAAATGACAGCATGTCTGGTTATATAGCAAAGCCCTTGAAGCCTATGTGAGACTTGTATGAAGAAGTCATGTCAATTGTTTCATGCAATTTTTGTCTTTGTTTAAGACAAATAAAAACTTGTAAGAAAATAAAATTTTATTTTTTTTGAGGAAGAAATGTAGAAAACCTGCTGCAAGCACCTTGTAAATCAATGCAGTATGAAACCCCTCTGCGTGTGCGCGCTTCTGTGCTTTGGATGCTTTATCACCTGGTCGTGGTCTATTTTCCTCTAATGTTCACGAGGTATGCTCCATGGAACTAGCTCCTTCAATGCTGTACTATGCACCTTTTAATAAATGTTTGACATGTGCTTTAAAAAATTGGTGTCTTTTGTTTTATTTACTCTTTTTATTTAATTAGAAAAAACTTTGAGTAGGATAGCCCATACCTTGCTGTGAGGCACAGAGAATGGCTGCCTCCCACTAACAAAGCCTGGGAGATTATATGCTGATGGCAGATAACATTAGTAGCTTTTAAAGGAGTCCAAAGTCAAGCTGTTTTTTTTTGTTTCCCTTTAAAATCCATTCTCTCTGGCAGCTTTTGTTGTATGAGACTGCACTGTTTTCTTTTGGGATATGACCTTATGTACTTATTAACTTGCATGACTGATCTGATTATTTCCAATGTTAGACTATATTTGTGTGGCTTATGTTCCTTTTCCAAATGAGTTATTAACATGGGTCGGGAGCCTCCAGATCTTTCCCAAACAAGAGGTCTTGCAAAGGGGACTAACTGGCCATACTCAGGAGAGAGTACCTTTATCAAAGGAATGTGCAGGACTGGTGACCTAGAGCTAGAAGGACAGACAGACAAGGCTGGTGTAGTTAGTCTTACTGAAATGCTAATTTTTAATCCATGCCAAGCCTTTTGTGGCAGGTGGTAGCTGAAAGAGTATTTTTAGCAAGATTTTTCCCTGTCATTCAAAGTTGAGCATAGAGACAGGTGTGGCCTTCCAAACACAACAAGATATGAAGATAAAGACAGGTATGTCATGTGAGATATAAGTTAAAAACAGTGATGTTATATTTAATCTGACTCCAGGCAATTTTCCATATGAATGTTTCTCTATGACCTCTGAAGATTGGGGAAAGGAGACAGAAAGCCAAGGTAACTCTAGCAATCAGCTTCTTATTTAAACTGCTACAGAAGCGTTTTCCTGAAAATTCCCTTCAGAACCTTCTTCCTCCCACTGGATGGGGTGGATTAGCCGGCAGTGGCCACCTGCAGGAAATCTCCCTGCTGGGAAGGTTGGACAGCTGAAAGATTCAGGTTCCAGGGTTTCCTGCAAGAAGTTACACAATAAAAACTTCAGCTCAAGATCCATCAGCTAGCTTTCTTTTTTGGGGGGAAAAAACCTGTGTACATATATTTAAATCAGCTTTATTGAGATGTAACTTACATGTGGTAAATTTTCCCAATTTTAAGTGTATGATCAAATTAGGTTTTTTAAAAAATGTTTTCATTGATTTTTTTGAGAGAGAGGAAGGGGGAAGGATAGAGAGATAGAAACATTGATTAGAGAGAGAAACACCATCGGTCGGCCCCCCCCCAGGGATGGAGCTTGCAACCTGGGCATGTTCCCTGACCAGGAATCAAACTGGTGACCTCTTGGTTCCTAGGCCAATGCTCAACTACTGAGCAACACCGGCCGGGCTCAAATGAGTTTTGACGAATGTATGCCATGTGTTAAGGTTACCATAATTAGCATATAATACATTTTCCTACCCTCATCTCCTAGCCCCTGACAACCACTGTTCGGAATCATACAATATGTAGCCTTTTGAATCTGGCTTCTCCAAGTTTCCTCTTGAAAAAGAGAACTTGTGGGATCAAATTACCCTAGAGGGTGACTGAGCATTACCAGTGGCTCTCAGGATTTCCTACATTTTTATTATTGGGGGGGGCGGTTGGGAGAATTTTGAAGAGCTGTGGTGACCTGCTTGCCTCTGTGAGTGATCCCTAGTGGCCTGGAATTGCCAGGGGGAGGGAGTTGTCTAGCTCTGGGCATCAATCAAGCCTACCTGGCAGGACTTTCCAAACCTTGAAAGTTCCCCTTCCACTGGCTTTATTCAATGTTTGTTCTCCAATCTCCACTCCTGTACCGCAAACATCTCTGCCTAGGTGAGTCCTGATCCTAATTAATGATGCACAGAAGTTAAGAGTATGGGATTTGGAGTCAGGCCCAAGTGGATTTAACTCTTGGTTCAGCTGCTTACAAGTGATAGGGTATTGGGTAGGTTCTTTGATTTTTCTGATGCTGTGTTTTTTTTCTGTGTAATGGGATAAAACCACCTACCTCAGAGTNACAAGTGATAGGGTATTGGGTAGGTTCTTTGATTTTTCTGATGCTGTGTTGTTTTCTGTGTAATGGGATAAAACCACCTACCTCAGAGGCCCTTTGGGTGAATTGAACAATATCAGGTATATACAGTGTGTAGTACAGTCTTTGGCACATACTCTGCCCTGGATCAGGAGTTACTATCCCTGTTTCTCATTTTGAACTTTAGGTTCAGGTTGGTCATTAGGCTGACAAGATACAAAGCTAATTGGGATCAGAGTTTACGTTTTCTCTCCTTTAAGACTTGTTGCAACTAGTGACTTTTTAAGCAGGTGCCCTTCTGGTATGAGAGAGTTCCAGAGGCTGGAACACCCTCTCTCTCTCTTTAACTCCACGACTGATCTTCAGAGCTTGTTTTCCATGCTGTGACTCCAAGGGACAGAGCAACATGAGCAGCAGAAACCAAAGCTGCTTTCCTGTTGTTTGGAGCCACTGAAAGCCTAAATGAAGGCCAGCTTTCATCAACCCCATGGGGGGACCAAAATACAGGCACATGTTCTCCTACTTGCTTTGCTGTGGTCAATGGAGCATCAGTCTTCTCTGAACAGGTGTAGGTATTTTTTTCTGTACTTTACTTTTAGTAACACATATTTATCTTTTAAGATTAATTTGCACTGCCAGCCACAGGACTGTGTTTTTTTTTCTCTTCTTGATTTGTGAGCCACTGAAAGGGAAATGACAATGGATAAACAGAGGGTGACTGTGTGGCCCCCTTCAGGATGGTGAAGGGAGATTCTGGGTGTGAGCCCCAGTCATCTCGAACAGATGTCACACCATTAAGGATGATTAGCCTCCTATGCTCCAGAATGTTCTGGAACAACAAAAGAGTGAATCGTGATACATCAGAATATAAAAGGCAGGCACGTTTCTCAGGCGTGCTCCCAGCCAGTGGAACAGACCAGCTGGCCTGGCTCATAGATGAGAGATACTATTAGAGTTGTCAGTTCAGTTGCCAGGCCTCACATCTGTACCTCAGGATGCGCCCACTTGTCTCTGAGATCTGCATCTGCTCCTGGAATTCATTCAAAGGGAACAGCCCTTGGAATCAAGGTCCATGGTGGAGAAAGATGGCTTTCAATCTGTCCAGAGGGGAAGCTTCTCCTTGGATGCCACTCCTGGACATCTTGGAACCTGTGAGCATGGTTTCTTAGACCTAATATTGGAGTATTAAAAATAAACAAACAAACAAACATAAAACCTTTGGTGTGTTTGCGGAATTCTAAGTGGTTTTTATGCAGTTCAGCGTATGTGAAGGATGAGGGTGGAATGATTAACAGGGGCCAGGGTTTATACGACATCAAAGGAATTTGGTCCTTTAGCTGCCACACAGGAAATGTATACTGACCCCTAGGGTTCTCCAATCTCCTCTCTTCTTAGTTAGATTCTACCAGCTAATGTGTTCCTTTTGGTTGTGACCTATCTTGTGTTTATATCAGTATTACCAGTGACTTACTCTGACTTTTACCTGTGGCTGTCATCTGTCAGAGTTCAGTGCAGGAACGGAAACAACTTTTAACTAGGGTGCTGCTAACTGGCATGTTAGATAAATATCACTATCCCAGTGACTGAGTAAATTGCAGGTTTTCCCCCTTCACTTCACCACTGCTTTCACCATTTGTCCTTGTTTGCTGCTTCTATAACATCTTCTCAACCCCAACACCTTTTGCCCCCTCACATGCCAGTTGTGGTTTTGTCTGGTGCTGCTATGATGGGAGAGAGCTTCTCTTCCAAGTTGACTCTCTTCCAATGGTGATTCAGGAACCCAGGCTCATTCCATTCCATCTGTGGCCCCACCATCGCCACACATAGCTCCCAAGGTCACTGTGCTTGTCTGCATCTGACAAGTAGAGGCGAGTAGAACATGGAGGGTCTTAGCTCAGGTCTGAAGGGGGTGTCCAACACTCCCACTCACCATCTGTAAGCACAGGACACTCCGGACTGCAAAAGAGCTTTGGAAACATAGAGTCTAGCTGGGTACACAGGACAAAAGAAAATGGGTTGGCGAGCAGCCAGCCA